CTAACTTTCCCTTTATATTGCTTTTGATTTTGTTTTAAACTGGGATGTCTTGAATTATCTAGGACCAGAGTGTTTAGTATATTTTAATTGGTTTTTTAACGTTTGTATTACATGTATTTTTATCATTCGCTGTTCACCGCCCTGAGTCCCTCAGGAATAGGGCGGTATATAAATTTAATAAATAAATAAAATTTAATAAATAAATAAATAAAATCGTTGATACCCAGAATGGAATTTTCAAATAGTGTTGTTTTTTAATCTTCTCCCAATTTAATAACAAAGCCTCACATATATGATGCCTTCTAAAATACCCCTGTATTTTTGTTCCTTTATACCATAAAAAAGCATGCCACCCTATCAACAAATCATGATCTTCTATCTATTCTTTAATCCACATCAAACTTGTCACTTGATAATAAAGTTCCCAATTAGGTAACCCAAAACCCCCTCTCATTCTAACATCTTGTAACAACTTTAATTTTATCCCAGCCTTCTTTCCCTGCCAAATGTATTTTAACACTATTTTATTCAATTCTTCAAAAAAGTCTTTCCCCAATCTAATTGGAATTGTCTGGAACAAGTATAAAATTCTAGGCAAAATATTCATCCTAATAGTTGATATCCTTCCAATCAAAGAAAGCTGTAAATTTTCCCATTTCTCCAAGTCTGTCCCTATCTGTTGTTTTAAGTTTATTATAGTTATTTTCTTTAAGCATGCTACATCTTGCTGTCAAGTATATCCCCAAATATTTGAGTTTATTTGTGACCTGCATCTTTGATATATCCGCCAATTCTTTTTGCTTTACCAACATATTTTTAATCAGAATCTTCGTTTTGTCTTTATTGATTTTCAAACCAGCTACTTTCCCAAACTCTCCTATTTTATCTATCAGTGTAGATATTGATGTTAGTGGATCTTCAAGAACGAAGACCAGGTCATCTGCGAATTTTGCAATTTGTATTCTTCTTTTCGAATTTTCATTCCTTTTATATCTTTTTCTTCTCTGATACTTCTATTTAGCACTTCTAATGTCAATATGAACAACAGAGGGGACAGTGGACAGCCTTGTCTGGTACCTTTTTTTATCTCAATAGAATCTGTCAATTCTCCATTTATCATTACTTTTGCCGTTTGTATATATAGCTTCTATTGCTTGAATGAATTTTCTGCCAAAGCCCATCTGTTCCATTTGAAGCAACATAAATCGCCAATTTACATTGTCAAAAGCTTTCTGTGCATCTAAAAATATTAAGGCCATTTGTTTTTCAGGATGGGCTTCATAATATTCCAGAGTGTCCAGAATTATTCTCATATTATCTCTAATTTGACTTTTTGGCAGAAACCCATTTTGATCTGAATCTATAAAATTGTTTAAGTATCTTTTGAGTCTTTCTGCCAATATTGTAGCTAAGATTTTATAATCTGAATTTAGCAGGGATATAGGTCGATAATTTTTGATTTGTTGTGGGTCTGTATCCTCCTTAAGGATCAATGTAATATATGCTTCAGACCATGACTTGGGTATTTTCTTCTTTGTCATCACTTTTTTTTTATTTGATTTATATGCCACTCTTCTCCAGAGACTCAGGGCGGCTTACAATGCGCTAAGCAATAGCCTTCATCCTTTTGTATATTTATACAAAGTCAGCTTATTGCCCCCACAACTGGGTCCTCAATTTACCTACCTTAGAAAGGATGGAAGGCTGAGTCAACCTTGAGCCTGGCGAGATTCGAACCTGCAATAATTGCAGGCAGCTGGTCTTAATAACAGGGTGCTTTAGACCACTGTACTACCAAGGCTCTTCATTCATAACTTCTAAAAGTGGGAGACTCAAAGATTCTTGCAATGTCCTATAGTATTCCGCTGGCAAACAATCTGGCCCTGGTGCCTTCCCATTCTTTTGTTTCTTAATTGCTTCAGTTAATTCCATCATCGTTATATTCCATCATCGTTATATTTCCCTCTAGCATCTCCTCAATATCTTTAGGAATCCGAGGTAAGTTTGCATTTTGAAGATATCATATCACATTTTCCTCCTCTATCTTTGCTTTCTCATACAATTTTCTATAGCAGAGATGGCTAACCTTTTTGCCATTGCGTGCCAGGAGAGGGGGGGCGGGGAGGGTCATGCGTGCATGTGTCCACGCGCATGCATGCACAACCCTCCCTCCTCCCCCCCCGCTCCTGGCACATGATGGCCTGGTAGACCCATTTTTCTTTCCTACCTGGTTCCAGATCCTCCCTATTTATCTGGGAAGGGCAAAAATAGCCTTTCCCACTTCCTTGTGGAGGCCCTACGGAGGCTGAAAGGGCCCATTTCCCAACTCCCGGTGGGACAGGAAGTGACATTTTTTGCCTCCAGAGCCTCTCTAGGAGTCTCTAGGAGCCTCTCTAGGAGTCTCTGGAGGCAGGGGACAGCAAAAAAGTCACTTCCTGTCCCACCGGGAGTCGGGAAATGGGCCCTTTCAGCCTCCGTAGGGCCTCCAAGGGAGTGGGGAAGGCTGTTTTCGTCCTTCCCAGATAAATAGAGAGGATCTGGATCCAGATAAGAAAGAAAAACAGGCCTCCCCCTCCCCCCAGGCCCTCCAGAGGCAGGAAACAGCCTGTTTACCTACTTCTGGTGGGCCCAGAAGGCCCGAAAATCAGCTGGCCAACACGTGCATGCGCCCGAGAGCTGAGCTAGCATGCCCACTAATATGGCTCCGCGTGCCACCTGTGGCACGCGTGCCATAGGTTCGCCATCACGGCTCTATAGTAACCCTGTATAATTTTTTTCTTCTCCTTATTTCCAAATTTACTTTGTCGTTGATCATCAATTAATTGTATTATTTTTTTTCTTTTTCTTAAGAAAATGTTATTTTCTTAATAACATCATCATCAGTAGGTATCTTCTCTCCTTTCCAGTTTTTAGCAAATACAATTCTAGCCGCTGTTAAGACATTCACAATTAAGTATCTCAGTTCTCTATTATATGTTTCTGGTAAAATCCCTAATAAAAATATCTCTGGTTTAAAATCAATATGTTTCTTTATCATTTTTTCCAACCATGTGTGGATTTTAGTCCAATATCTTTTAGCTTCTGCACATGTCCACCACATATAGTAGTATGAACCTGGAGTCTGATGACACTTCCAACACTTCTCCGATTTGCTCTTGAACATTCTGGCTATTCTCGCTTGAAAAAAGGTTAAAGTTTTGACTTTTTATATCTCTGGAAGGAAAGATATGAGAAACATGAATAATAACTTAGCAACACAAGGTTTTCAAATATAAAATTTCAGTCTCCTATTGTTTTCCAATAGTTCACAAATTGAGTGTAAAGTTGACGGTTTTTGTAAAAACACCAAAAATACCGCTTTTACAAAAAAATACCTTCTGGAAACTCTGCTAAATCATTCTCATTAGAAAGAGCATGTTTCAACCCCCCTAAAAAAGTAGAGTTGGTTTTTCATCGCTGACATATGTAGTTCTACAGAGACATAGGATTCTACTCCAAGTTGCTGATAATCCTTTGAACAGGGACAGTTGGCATAATAGACGAGTAATATTGAACTGTCTTTGCCAACTTTTACACTGCAGAGTATATTCTAATGAACTAACAGAGATTTCTTGGCTCCCCAGCAGACATGGTTGTAAAAAAATATTGTTAACTTTTGTGCAGATTGTTCTTCCATTGATGTTATTCAGGCTTGAAACCTTTCTAAGGAAATATTGTATTCAGCCAATATGAGGAGTTTGAATTAATACTGGTAAATGCATATATTCCTCCAAATACATCCTTGTACTATAACTCTGACTACAGGTATGTAAGTCGAGGACTACCTGTATTGGACATGTTTAGATGACATATCCATACTACCTCCTGAATCTATAATTATATTGATTGGAGATTTTAATGCTAAATTAGGTCCATCTTTGCATGAGTTTGCTCAAAAGAAAAGATTCCCAAAGGAATTTCTTGATAATCATTCACTGTGGCTTCCTAGAGACAACAAAAGTAATACTGCTGGTCTGCTCCTGGTCTCTTTAATTTTCAGATATTGAGAGGTAAGGATAATAACTATGTATACCCCCACACATACCACTCAGCCCTCTGAAGTAGTGTGCTAGATCTTTTCTGTGTATCAAGAGATAAAGTTGACCTTTTTAAAGAGGTTACCGTACATTTAGGTGATGAAAGTGACCATCAGCCTATGAGCATGACATTATAAGGTTGCTCAGATTTAAGATCATATAATACTCCCAACAAATGGCTCAGCAGTGATCCAAAATAAAAGGTTAATTTGGCCTAAAATTGATACAAAGCAATATCAGACAATCTTAAAGCAGAGAATGCAGTTAACTGGGCTAAAACAATAACAATCATCTACTACTGACTGGCTGTCAGCCTTGAAAGCATTCTTTAATCTCTGCAATATGCTGAAGAAACATTTAATAACTTCCTGCCAAAAGTTTTCAAGCGGTAGATCTCGTTGGTTTGGTTTTGATGTCGGTTGTTGAAAAAGAAATTGAAGGCAGTCCTGAGTCTCGCTAAGAGGAGTCCTACTCCCATATTACAAGTTGAGATGCTGCATATAAGAAGAGAATACAAAAAACTCATAAAATTAAAGGGAAAAAATGCCATTTCAATTTGGTCAGAATGGCAGGGGAAGGATACTACAAAATCTCCACTCCCACCCCACTCTGGGGCCAGCCAGAGGTGATAGTTGCCAGTTCTCTGAACTACTCAAAATTTTCTCTACCAGTTCTCCAGAACCTGTCAGAACCTGCTGAATAGCACCCCTGCCCCTATACATGGTTCTCCAGAATGGTGAAGAGGCACTCTGTTTGAAAAGCAAAGTTAGATGATTCCACCTGTTAGAATTTTAATTGTACATGCCAAGATATGTGCTAGAAGCGAAACTGTTTCTATTTTTCCAACTTTAACTTAGGAGAGAACTTGAAAGTTTTGGCTTGCAGATGCTAACTAATTGGTTAATCATTATTCTTTCTTCTTAGATTTGGAAATTACTGTACCAGTTGGACATTCTCAGATTATGCCAAAGAAACCAGAGTGTAGCATTTATGAATATAATCCGAGGAAAAATCTTTTCCCAAGTAAAGAGATAAAGCGAGGGGACTGGAAAACAGAAAGCACATCAAGTACTGCAAGTAAGTAAGCAGGTAGCCAGAAAGCTATCTAGCAAGGAATGAAGAAATATACTTTGGATCTCAATAGTTTGCATTGCTGAAATTAAGGAGTTCCTAACCTATAATTTGATTCTTCACATTAAATGTATTGTCAAATCTCTTTTCTTCCTGTCTGGCTCCCTTGATCACCCATTTCAACGCTAGCTGTCTATTTAGTCAATTATTTATATCTTTGCACTACGTTTGTAGGTACATTTATTTAATATTGATTCTTATTTTCATTATTTTTTTCTATCAAGTATATATAATCAATTATTACAATTAAATTCTGTTAGAGAAAAGTTATTTCTCAGTTGCTGTGCCTATTAATGGCATTTGGAATGGACAAATAAATAAGCCAATCAGAAAGCAGCTAATGGGTTTGAAACTCCCTGGATTTTATATTCCCTCCCCTAACTGTCACTGTGACAGTATAAAAGGAGATTCCTGACAGAAAACTATTATCAGTTAGTTGTCAGTTAGTTGTCAGTTAGAGGGCAGCTCTGCAGTTCTAAATGTCAGTTAGTAGTCAGTTAGAAATCAGTTAGAGGGCAGTTTTAAAGGGCAGTTCTGCAGTCAGTAAGCAGTTTAAAGGCAGTTCTGATGGCAGTTAGTCATCAGTAAGTTGGCAATTAGGAGAGTTCTGATTAGGGATCAGAGGTAGATCTGATGTTTTAAAAGAATCCTTCTTCTGAGGAAGAATAGCCAGAACTATATCATATAGAGTGATTACATATATATATCTGACAGGGTATTTAAGAAAAGGAATGACATACTATTTAGTATTTGAATAGATATTGTTTTTATTATTATGTAAATAAAAACAGTTTATTGTGAACTGCTAGTAAGTCTCATTTGTTATAGTAGATTTTATAGAGAGAAGGTTTTACGATACATTGGTATGTATCGTATATTGGTAGCAGAGGATGGTTGTTTAAACTTTATCACAATCTACTAAACAAAAATGCCAAATCTCAAATCGATGACAAAGGCAAGGATAGCAACCCAAGCCTTCACCAGGCACATGGCACCCCAACGCCAACTAACTGAACCCGGGGCCAGAGCAACATTGGCTGAAGCACCACATGCTTCAATAGCACATGAAGCCAGAGATATGACAGGTACCAAGGCGAATATACCAGTTCTAGAGGTTCTTGGAGCCACGAGTGACAGCCCTCAGCCTACAGAAGCCGAGACAAGAAGGACGCCCCTTCTAGCCTTGAATATGAATTCTGCAGAAAGGGACGAGATGAGGTCTGCAATACTCCAAGCATTCGGCTTGCAGACAGCAAGCGAAGACCCGGTGGCAGATCTCAATGCTCTACTCCAAATTACAAAAATGGCGCCACCTGTCAATATGTCAGTTACTGGCGACCCGCAATGGCAAGCAGGTACCGGCATCAAAGCCACCTACTTGGCAGCATATAATGCTGCAGTGGCCCAAAGCAACCAGCCAGCTGAAGAACTAGTTTAGCCGGCAGCAGCGACACCGCTGGTCCCAGCCGTGCCGAGCATGACACCGGCAATGGCCGAATGGGCCCATGCCCAGGTGACCAGCCCGGTCGTGGCAGCCCAAGCAACTAAAACAAGAAGCTCGCCTACTGAGCTTGAGATAGAAAATGCAGTCAAAATACTGAGAGCGGCCTTCGGATCCAATTTCCAGCTCCCTCACACCTACCGTGCGACAGCGGCCCGCCCTGACACCCTTCCGATGACTGCAGTCCACTCCTTACCTACTTTCATGATGGCGGACTCTCCTGCGGCGTCTCCAGTTTTCGGGGCCATTTCCGGGACTACTCCAGCCAAGGCTGAGGTCCCAGAGGCAGGCCCAAGGCCTTCTGCAGAGGACAACCTGAGGAAAGACAGGGTGGCCTTCTACAGGAAGGAAAGACCAACAAGGAGGTCTAATAGCCTTGAAAGGGTAAACACAGTTGGGGAGTGTTTTAACTGTGGGTCCAGGGACCATTATAAAAGAGACTGCCCACGTAATGCCAACACCAGGGCATGTCAAAGGGCACCTTCTAATGACAGGTACAGAAGGAGATCACCTACCCCACATAGAAAGCCACAAAGCAACCCTGCAAGCCAAAGAAGAGATAGATGGCCAAAGAAAGATGACAAAAAGGACAAATTCAACTTTAACAATAATTTTGCTACTGTGATAGAGACTGAGGTCCACAAGGAAAGAGGGGTTGTAATTACAATTGTAAATATGATTCAAAATGAAAAAAGGGTGTAAGCTTCAATCTGGAGCAAGCCAATGAAAAGCCCGAGGATGCCAATGCAATTTCTATTGGCAAGCCACTCCATGATGAGTGTGCTCACCTCATGCATCGCAGGATGGGTCATATGAGTTTCCCTGTGGTGCAGAAAGCGCCTGAGTGCTCCAAGGGGATAAGAATTAAAGAATGTAATATTTTTTTAGATTGTTCCATTTGCAGGAGTGCAAAATCCAAGGTAAAGACAACACCCAGGAAATCTGAGAGGCATTCTGAGTGCATATTCCAGTTGGTGCACATGGACTTGGTGGGTTCTTTGAAACCCTCCATTGGTAAGAATAATTACTTCTTGACCATTGTTGATGACCATAGCAGGTTCGGATTTGTCTATCCCCTCAAATCCAAGAATCAGGCCTTATCAAAATTTAAGGATTTGCAGTCTGGTTGAAAATCAGCACAAGGTCAGCATCCAGAAGATCTTGACCGACAGAGGAACTGAGTTCAGTTCAGCTCAGTTCTGTGATTGGCTGAAAGAGAAGGGCATAGTACATTTGCATACTGCTCCTTACTCCGCTTTTCAAAACGGAGTGGTGGAGAGGAGAAATGATGTACTGCAGGTAATGATGAGGTGAGCCCTTGAGGATGCTGACCTAGATTTCTCATATTGGGCGGAAGCTGCTTTGTATGCAATCTACACTCTCAACCAGGTATGGTAAGTGTGGTGCAGAAGAACCCATATGAGGTAGTGTATGGCCATAAGCCAAGATTAACGCATCTCCATGTATTTGGAGTAATGGCAGATGTACACATCCCCAAGGAACTAAGAAAGAAGGGGGATAAAATATCAATTAAATTAAGGTTCGTTGGCTACAAATCAGGATCCAAGGCTTTTAGGTTTGTGGACTCAAACAGAAAAATTGTAATATCAAGGTCAGCTAATTTTCAAGAGAGCACAAATTGGAGCAGGATTCATGCCAACGAGATCCTGACTACCAATAATAATCATAATTTGAAAAAACAGATAATAGATGTGTCAGAAAATCCATCTAGTGATGGTGACACATCTGGATCTGAGGATGAGGGAGAGCGCATGCCCTCCAGACCTTTAAAAGGAATACTAAAGAAAAAGAAGGAAGTAGCATGGAAAAAGGGGCAATCCACTTTATAAATTCAGACGAGCAGTGATGAGGAAGACAGCTCATCAGATAGTTATGATACAGATGAGGAAACAATTAAAAAGCCAATTCAATCCAATAGGGGAAAGAAGCTCAAGAGATACGAAGATTATGTTACCTCTGTTAATCAAATATCGATATCACCTCAAAGATATGAGGATGTTTTAGCTACCTAAAAGAGAGCAGGAGAATTGGCGTACTGCAATGGATATAGAATTGGAAAGTCTAAAGAAATTAGAGGTATTCACACCCACAAAATTACTAAAAGGTAAAAAGGTAGTTGGCACTAGATGGGTCTTTAAGAAGAAGCCAGTTGAAAAGGGCAAATTTATTTTTAAGGCAAGGTTGGTTGCACAGGGTTTTTCACAGAGATTCCCTGATGACTACATTGATACCTTCTCGCCCACAGTGCGTCCTGAGAGCGTTAAGACTGTGCTCACCATAGCTGCCATACAAGGGAAGAGTGTATACCAGTTTGATATACAAACTGTGTATTTACATGCTAAATTAGACAAAAAATTATATGTCAAAGCTCCTCAGGGTGTAGATCATAAGGAAGGTGATGTTTCGCTCTTAAATAAAAGCCTCTATGGTCTCAAACAATCGGGCAGGAGGTGGTATGAATGTCTTACCAAACGTCTAAGGCAGATGGGTTTTTCTGCATCATCAGCTGATGAATGTGTATTCATCAGAAGTCACCAGGGCACCAAAGAAATCGTTTTGGTTTATGTAGACATTACAGACATTTTGTACGTCTGTAAATCAGAGAGCAGATGTAAAATATTCTCTGACGAATTAGGCCAGAATTTTGCCCTAAAGCCTTTAGGCCGAATTGACAAATTTTGGGGGGTTCAATTTGTTAAGACTGAGAAGGGGTTTGAGCTTTCTCAGCGGGATAAAATTTTAGAATTAATTGAAAGATGCAAAATGGCAGAGGCCAAGCCCTGTGACACTCCCATGCAAACGGACTTTCTTCAAAACGTTTGTTGAAAGTGCAGAGTTTGAACAGAAGATCTGTAATAGGATCAATATTGTACATTGCGGGATGGACAAGGCCAAATATTAGTCTAGCTGTAAATGTAATGTCCAGGCATTCTGAAAACCCCACTTAATTTCATTGGAATGGGATAAAAAGAGTTCTCAGATATTTGAAGAGTACTGTAAATTACTCACTTCTCTTAGAACTGAATATATCAGACAGAACAAATTGATGTTGTTATAATACAGATGCGGATTGGGCAGGGGACATCAAGTCCAGGAAAAGTACTTCGGGGTATGTTGTATTACTAAATGGAAGCCCTATCCACTGATATTCAGGGAAACAGAAGCTGATTGCCACTTCTACTGCTGAGGCAGAGTATGTACTGTATGTCTGTCCAAGGCATCAAACAATTTGATATGGTTCGATGACCTTTTAATGAATCTGTGGGAAGAACTTCTGTATCCTATAAGTATTCACGAGGATAATATGGCTGCCATTAATATATCAAAGGCTGACGCTGTGGAGCAAAGGTCACGCCATATTGATATAAAATACAAGCATGTGAGACAACTATCTAAAATGGGTTTAATTAAGATAATATTTTGT